AAGGAGTCAAATAAGGATACTCTTCTGATTTGGTAACATTAGGAAAAGAGTGTTGTTTCTATTGCTGGTTTCGCTTTAGAAACTTGTACTATTGTACTTCTCACAAAGAGAAGACAGAGATTTCTGACATTAATAAAGTTCTTGCAAACTTGGTATCTTCTTAGGAATTGCTAGAGTTTCCTATTCCGTCATTCTAGATCTCTTGTTTTGAGCAATTTTTTTCTAAATAACACTTTTTTTTCTGATTTTAATTAAGATCTTGTTCCTGCAATTTTTGCCTTTAATATTCTGATTTTCAAAACATTCTAAGCCTAAGAATCAGTTCTATAAACATGTTGACCTGCCAACAGCTTGTGCTGCTTCAGTTTGTACCACGTGTACTTCAGTTTTAGGTTGGATGTTCATAACTGGTTTGGTTGGAGGAAACCCTTTTGGGATGTAGTTGAGTATGTGGAATCTTTATTCCAATGTTGTGATTGAGCCTTCCTACCTTAAGACATCATATTTTAGTTTGCTTTGATTCCTGAGAATGCGATCCTACAAAACGGCTTGAATTTTCTACTATTTGGTTCCTGTACTTGCTACATTAATTTTTATGCCTCTTACTTTCTTCGTTTTTTGCCTTCGCTCTTGTTCATTATTTTCCTGTCATTTGTTACTCACATGCTTCTGGTGTAAAAAGCGCCCTACCTTCCCTCCTCTAACACCAGAAAAATATAATATAAAAAAAGCTCCTAGATCTTTTACAGCCTATAGTAGGGTTCACCCTGGGATGTTCATTATGTGTATATGTGTGTCAATGGATGGATGGAGAAAAGAGAGGAGTTGAAATTACAGCCAGAAAATTCTTTTTTGCAATCCTTTTACCTTTTGATTTGTCTTGGGAATTTTTAAGCGTCTACATCTCCTTGCTGCAGCCCTCATTCAGGTGAATTCAATGGAGAGAACATCAGACTTGGATCTCGAGGTGACAGCTATTATGAGTACCTCATCAAAGTCTGGCTTCAGCAGAGAGGGAGAAATTCAACATACTTGTTTGACATGTATGAGGAAGCGATGAAGGGTGTCAGGCACCGTCTTGTTCGGCAATCTGTCCCTAATGGATTGGTCTTTGTAGGAGAATTGCCTTATGGATCTCAAGGTTCTTTTAGTCCAAAAATGGATCACCTGGTAAGTGATATTCTCATTGTTCTTCAATTCAACTCAACTAAACATATATGGTAGGAGAAAAGTGAAGCAGAAGCTTATCTTGAAATGGCTACTACTTTGTCATTAATTTGAAATTTGAAGTTTCTGATAATTTCATTCATTATTTGGCTTTTTATATCATTGACATTGGCAATCTCCAGGTTATGATATATGTATAGAGGAGAAAGAATAAGAGATAATGAGTCTTATCTCTGTAGAATCAGTGTCCCTAAATGATTTTGGCATCCATGCTGCTTGTTTAGGTATGTTTCCTGCCTGGTGCCCTTGCACTTGGTGCAACTAAAGGCCTAACCAAAGACAAGGCTGTTAAAGAAAGCATCCTCACTTTTGAAGACCTAGAGAATTTGAAGCTTGCAGAAGACTTGACTAAGACATGTGTGGAAATGTATTCAGTAACTTCTACTGGTCTTGCTTCAGAAATTGTTTACTTCAATACAGAGGTACATCATAATTGTTCAAATTTACTCAATTATGCTATTTTAAAATGTTAGCTGCAGACAAGAAAGAATTCTAGACAGAAATTGTCAGATATCAGCAACTATCAAAATAGATTGGTTTAAATACAGACACTTTTTTGCTGATTTTTCTATAGTTCGAAAGAAAGATAAATTAAAGGAACGTGTTGCTTGATAAACTTTTGCTTTTGTTCAATACAAAGTGATTCTCACTCCTCATCTCATGTCTCAGTGAGCTTGGACAGAATTTTTAAATATTCAGGTTGATGATGTGTCCTCTATAGATAAAATCCTTAGTGTTTTGTTCCTCTAGGATTTTATTGTCTATTTAAAAATACGTGCTATCCTATTGTCGCCCTATTACACACACACATATAACAGAATATGTGCATATTTTCTGATAGGTATTCTCTTCTTAGACAGTCCAGATAACTGTAAGAGTCCTGGATCTAGTTTCCGTTTTGTCATACTGTTAGCATGATCACAGTTACTGAAAGTTGGATTCTGATTATAATTCTTTCTGTGCCCTTCAAGCGATGGTCTTTGTCTTTTTTTTTTAGAAAAAAACCAAGAATAGGTGGGGGTTAGGCTTGTTTTAGTAGACAAAACTGAGTGCATCAGCAAGCAAATCAAGATAACCACAGTGTATTCTATCCAATCTAAGGATTCATCTAGTGAATTTGTTATTGAAGTTGTGTTACTCTGTAGACTTCATCAGATTGTGAATCATATCCTAAATTTGCCAAAAAAATCTGCAAGTTGATGCCTTCTCTAGAAATATGTTTGAAGCTGAATCTGTGTGGTGTTATCTCCCTTTTGATATGGCATTTAATTTCGTCTAGTCTCCAAGGCACGTTGCATGAACCAGTCATGATTTGTATAAGACTTGTGAATCAATTTCAACTTCAACCATAAACAGACTTGGTACACATAACTGAATCCCCTCTTTTAATGCAACTGCTTCAGCATGCATGTTTGTTTGATGGGCGTAAAAACTTGAAAAGGCTGCAACTAGCCTGCCTTTGTCATCTTTAATTGCTTCTCTACTGCAGCTAGTCCTGGATTCCCCCTTGTTACTCCAACATTTAGCTTGAAACGAGAAGCCAAAGGGGACAACCAAAAAACAATTTTGATCTTTGGGAGTTGTAGGTTCTGTAGCTTTACTGCTAAGCCGTTACGTAGAAGATCAATATCCTCATACCTAGATCTTGTATAAAGGGAATGCCAGAGAAATTGAGTGCAGCAAGGAGAGAACTTGCTGCAATAACTTTGCTACTATTTCTGCATAAAAAGATTTATTCCTGTCTTCAAGTTCAATGGTAGTGTTTTTCATTTCATGCAGTTGATATGGGGTTGTGATTGTATAATATCATGCATTTATTTCTTTGGTCCTTGTTTACAATTGAAAGGGCTTCTACAACCTCAATCTTCATAAACTGCAATTTTTCCATCATACTGCTAACAAGCAGGCTATTAATTGTTTGTCAACACTGCTACATTTGTTTTGCTGCCAACCAAAATTAACAGAATTTTGTTGGATATTTTATAACCAGGGAAATTCTGAAAGTGGTCCTGATGGTGGAAACAAGAGTTCCAATATGTGCGTGACATTATCATAAAACCAGCTGACAGGCACAATCTTTTGCGTCCTGAAACAGTTGAATCATTGTTCATCTTGTATCGCATTACAGAAGATCCCAAGTAAGTTGTTCAACTAATTTACTACTTTCTTCTCTTTTTTAACATAATTATTAATAGTGGCTATGAACATTTGCTGCACCATTTTGGTTGCTTCTGCAGATATCGCGAGTGGGGTTGGCAGATTTTTGAGGCCTTTGAAAAGCATACAAAGGTTGATACTGGTGGTTATACATCTTTGGATGATGTCACAACAATACCTCCACAAAGAAGAGACAAGATGGAGACTTTTTTCTTGGGTGAAACACTGAAGTACTTGTATTTGTTGTTTGGAGACGAAAGTGTTCTTCCTTTGGATGAGTTTGTATTTAATACTGAAGCTCATCCATTTCCAATCCTTGGCAATCTTGTAAAGCAATGATTCTACAAGAAGCATAATGACTGTAAGACCCACAAGTCATTCTTTGGTGCTCAGACTCAGCTCATGAGGAATTCTCTCTGCATCTAAAAGCAGATGAATTTGGCTATGATACCGAGACATAGGACATACAACTAATTTCTTCAATAGCTCAGGTGTAGCTACTTCTGCACCGTTATATATGTATGGCTTTCTGGATCAATTTCAATTTTGCAAGATTTTATACCTCAGTGTATCAAATTACACAATCAAGTAGACCATTTTTTCCTGTAACTGAGAAGTAATGATCATATGACTTGACCAGAGTTTATATACAGTCAGGCCCATAGTTAACAATTTTGTAAGATGACGTTAATCTACAGTTGCTGAGATTGGAAATCCTCTTTATTTACATTACACTTCAGCTTCATGATTGTTAGGTCATCAGGCTCTATGCTTTTTAATTGCTAGGAGCTGAAAAACAAATGGTCACCATCCCGGATGGCATTTACGTCTTCTATTTCTGCATCTTCTGCATTTTGAACTTTTGTGAAGTTCTGACCTCCAAATTTGTCACCTGCAATTCGACAGTGCTTGAATATCAAATGACATTCTTTTACTCTTTTACTTTGCAAAGTCTACTATTTAGCTATCAGTGGGACAAAACCACATCCCCCAGTAAAGTGTATACAAAAAGTAACACTTTGTATTTAGCTTATTTTGTGTTAATTGCATTTATGAGTCTTTTTATTTCACATTTCAGGTTTAATTCAATCCCATTTTAAGGTAAAAAGCTTACCTGCTATCCTGAGCAGTTCTTCCACTGAATCTGGTAGGAGTATTAGCTTCCCTAACAGCTTCTGCCCTGTGTTATGTTGTTGAATCTTCATATAAAGGGTGACTCTCTTCCTGGTGAATTCTGTAATATCACTATGACTCAGACATTTAATATTACTTGAGCTAATATCTATTGGATTTCTGTGGAAAAGTTTGGGACAGTTAATTTTTGTTGGTTTAAATGGACCTATCCCTGTTATTTTTGCCTTTTCAGGTACAAGAAGCTCATTTGTGCTCATCTGGTTTTTCTCTGTTTTTGTTACTGGAGGAAAGGCCGTATATTCTTTTGTTTGCTTCTTGTTCTGCTAGAGCAGTCGTGTCAGTGCTGTTGCATCTTGTTTGTTGACACATATCTCTCTTTCTAGCAAAATTTAACCATTTCAAGGTGACTCGCAACAGCTTTAATGGTTGCAGTTTGGCCATCATCATCCGTTAACTCCATATTCTCACCATATTTACTGCTATCACAACAATATCCTAGTTGTTTCTCCTTCATAGCTTGAACTACGAATATTGCAATCCACCATATTCAATGTCTCTAAATTGGCATGCAGAGCTATTTTCATGGCCAGCATGCCCTGAGTTGCTCCTTTTGGTCCTCCATGAAGCCAATCACTGTGTAGCAGACCATCAGTTTGCTGCTCAGTGTAGCCTAAGCTTCCGAACCTTTGAGTTTCTGTTGTAAATTCGTGAATGCTATGATATTAGGTTTGATCTGCAGGATGCGGGGGCTAACATATATTTAAATGCATCTGCACATCACCTGAAAAAGATTGTCCAATGTTACATGTTTATCTTCTGCATTTGCTTGAAGCATATTCATCAATGCAGTCCTGTTGAGTCGTAGTAGTTGAGAAACTTCAGTGGTTCTAACAGTGAAGGGCTGGGGTCTTCCACACAAAACAGCTATTTCTCCAAAGATTTCCCCTGTGACAGCCTTTCCAAGAACCTTCATGTACAAGGGATGCTAGGTTAGACTCTTTTTTCTGCAAAATTTTAAGGATGAATATGCTGCTGGAAATCAATTTACCTGATCATGGCCATCAACTTTGGCTATCAAATCCTGCAACCATGAATTTCGCATATTAGGAATATACATAAAACCATAAACTGGTGAATACCTAAAACATGCCAAAGATGGTTACAAGACTACTTACCACTGCACCAGAAACTAATATGAACAGATCTGTTGGGGTCTCATTCTGCAGTATAACATCTTCCTTGGGAGGAAAGTATTCTGCTTCCATTTCAGGAACCTTCCAACAGCAGAATACATTCTATTGTTACCAAATTTGATAACCCCTAAAGTAAAGAAGCTTCCTTTTCCACGCATAGATGATTTATTTACATAAGGTCAATCGTTAATGGTGAACTAAATCTTCTGCTTAAGAAGGGAAAAATGAAATAAATGAAAACAGTGAAAGGTACAATACCAATTGGAAGATGAAATCATATGAAACGCCTCGGAAAAGGTACACACTTTGGACGATGGGGAAAAATAAGTTGTGAGCAATGCTTGAACGGATGGCTTTGGGAGGCCATTCAAGGTTTCTTGTTGTTTTAGGCCCTCTGTTTTGAACTTAAGGCATACGTGGGCTAACATTTGATCTTGTATACGCGGGGGTAACTGATTTCTTTTTGCAAACTCTGAAGCTGCTCTAACTGTATCCCTCTACAGCATAGAAATCAAGACTGATTAAGATTGCATTCAAGGAACTAGGAGTGTTAAAATCCACACATCTTGCAACCAAATCATAGGCCTAATCAGAAAACCATCCTCACGTGACATCAAAATCTCTACACAACTAGAGGACATCATGAATTTAGCTCAATATTTATGAAATACTTATTTGACTGTCCAGATATTAAACAGAATAGACAAAGTAAAAGATTGAGCAAACTTACTCAAAGTATAGCTTTTGATGAGAAATTCCTAAACCCTGAATGTCATAGTACACTTTTATATAGTTCCTTGCGTCATGGGTGTGTTATAGTTTCGCCATTAATAAAAGACTATTTGTAGAATTCAATTCACATCTTATATATTCATATACATGCTGCTGTGTGTAACAACTAAAGTGAAAAAGAATCGGAAAGGTCCAACTAGGGACGATCTCAAAGTCAGAATTCGGACAAGCATCATCCCACGACAGAAAAGCTCGGTCAATCCTCGGCCCTTCCTCTTTGCCTGCCTGCCTTTCCCGGTCGGCCACTGATACGTTGTATTTTACTCAAATTTTTTCGTCTCTGGCTGCCCTCTGTTTCCCACTCGGCCATTGATGTAGATAGGACTTCGGAGCTGGAAGGGTTGAGTCTGAACTGGATCAGGAATCAGGGAACATGTCTAAAACGTTGCCGTATTCGATGAAAGATGTGGGTTATGATAACGCCAAATTCCGCCATCGATCCCTTCTCAAGGTTTCTATTCTTACTTCCATCCCAGAAAAAAAAAAATACAATTTCTTGTTTCTTTTGTTCTGTTTTGATTGCTCACTGATGTACTATCTGAATTCCGTTTAATCTTACTATGATCTGTTGGGGCATGTTGAAAATTTTCGTTTCTTGGATTGGTTTTTTCACTTTTTGTGTTCTTTTTATTTTTGCGATAATATTTTTTGGGCCTATATCTTTTGACAGTGATCTATTATCAAGTGTAATATGTTGCCATACGCGCCAAACATTTCAGGATTTACTGGCTAAAAAGTTTCAAACTATGATCCATTATCAAGGAAACTCAAGATTTTGCTCACACTCGTGTTTTTGTCGCAGACCTTTATTCAGTCATCGCTTACAAGTAATGTGAAGCGGGAGTGTACCAAATGTAGTACTGGAAAGTTCCTTGTGCTATTACTAATTGGTGGATTAACATATCTAATGATCACACATACCAGTACTTCAGTTTCTGTTTCCAGCAATGCTAAATCAAACAACATAGGGACTGAGGAACTAAGCAGTTTACGAAGATTTTGGAGAAAACCACCAAGGCTTCCTCCTAGATTATCACCAGATGAAATGAGTAGTAAGAGTGTACCTAATCGTACTCTTGAGAAATTAAATACAAAAAGTATTTGGATGGCTAGGCAACAAAAGGTCAAGGAGGCATTTTTACATGCATGGTCTGGATACAAAACTTATGCTATGGGTTATGATGAACTTATGCCTCTAAGCCGTAGGGGGGTTGATGGATTAGGAGGTCTAGGAGCAACAGTGGTGGATGCTTTAGACACAGCCATGATAATGGGAGTTGAAGAAGTAATTGTTGATGCAGGTTCATGGATCGAAAAACATCTTTCTGAGAGGATCAGCGGAAAAGGTCAAGTGAATTTGTTTGAAACCACTATTCGTATTTTAGGCGGCCTTTTGAGTGCTTATCATTTGAGCGGGGGGCAAGGGGGAAGTTCGTTGCACAAAGGGCCCAAACCAGTTGTCTATCTAGACAATGCTAGGGATTTGGCTGATCGCCTGCTGGTTGCATTTACATCAAGTCCCTCTGATATTCCATTCAGTGATGTGGTTCTACGTGAGCACTCTGCACACCCTGCTCCTGATGGCATGAGCAGTACTGCAGAAGTTTCAACTTTGCAGCTGGAATTTAATTATCTTAGTTATCTGACTGGGAACCCAAAGTATGGCTTAGAATCAATGAAGGTTTTTGAACATCTGAAGACCCTGTCGAAGGTGGAGGGACTGGTTCCGATATACATAAGGTATGGGCCAAAATACTACTTTCTTTGTAATTAGTTTCATTATTGACTTCTTCGAAAAAAGGTCCTCTTTTTCTTCTGCCAACAGTGTTAAATTCTTTGATAAATATGCTTTTGGTCTTTAAGTAATTTCTTTTGGGCAAATTGGTTTCTCAGTACTAGTGCAGCAATTGGTTTTTCAGTATTAGTGCTAAGAATTTAGGTAGGCTTATTGATGTTTGCTGATGTTGTGAGAATTTTCCTGGGTTGAAAAACAGAAGAAATATGATATAATGCTCCGTTTTTGGACGCATGTAAGACAATTGCTTGTCTTCAGAAAAGTTGACTTTAACATTATGCTAGTTGAGTATTCATTGATTGTACACTTAAAAGATTAACATCTAAATCAAAGTAGAGTGATGGATTAGAACTGAAAGCCAATGAAAATAACAATATGAAGAGAAAGTGATTGCTGAGCTATTCTTGGTTCTGTTCATATTTTTTTTTGGTTCTGTTCCTGTTGTATTAAGCTAAAGGATAAATAGAGGAATGCCATTCCTCCCTTCTTCTTCTCTCTACTGGTCGAGTAAAGATGATGATTATCAAAGGATTCTATACTTCAGTGATGTAATTTCTTGATGGAGAAATGGCACTAGCATTAGACTTCTAATGTATCTATCTATAGATAGCTATGTCTACATGGCTTCAAACTAAATGAAAAACGTAGGAATCGGTGGCTTCTTTCGAGTTGAATCCTCATCTCAGTACTTTGGTTAAACAAATATGGAAGGAATATTAATCATTTGCTGTGGGCCTTTCGCTGGTATATATTAAGATGGTACCTGTGGAGGATTACTTTGTAAAGACCATGTTGTGGTGTGGACATCGTTGTTGCACCATCATGTCTAAACCTGTTCTTTGGCCTGATATGGGCTTTGTCATTTACTACAACCACATTATCTGTCTGGTTACTTAGTAGATTTATGAACTCGAGCAGATAGCAGGAACTAATAAGTTAAATACTTTTTTCTTTATTCAATTTTTTCTTTGTTTTCATGTTGCGCTTCCATACATTAATACTTTTGAGCTTGCCATTTTCCTGCTATTTGCTTCTCTATTTCTCCTTTTGTGCGCCACTTGCTTGGAGGTTGTGTCTCTAGATAGCCAGAATCCTCTTGCATATCATGACTTTTTTTCCTCTTTTAAATATTTGTCTGCCTAGTCATATGCTATGATGCTGGCCTTAAATTTGTTTGCTGCCAAGAACATTTTCATCCAAGCAAATTACATGCTTATCTCCATAATCTGTGTTTAGATGCTTAATCTAAGATTCTCAATCTGATGCAGGTTGTAGTGGCAAGTGTGGACTACTTTGCATCATGATCAAAATCTAGTTTTGAGTACCAAGAGAAAACTTGAATGGGGTAATAACTAAGAATATGGTGCAAACCTGAAGTTATATGGGATTAACACAAAGAAGTAGTTTCATTATACACCAAAAAGCCGAGTAATTACAGTAAAAGTCAATATGTAGATCTATGGCAGTCTAACACTCCAGAACTGGCTTATTGGAATCTTTACTCTCCAATAAATTAATTTAAAAGAATACTAATTAATATTATAAAACTACGGTCTTAAAAATCAACTAAGGAATCAAACTGATTATGTGATGGACTTGAGGAGGCTAGGCATTTTATTGGTGGCTTAAAATTTGAGAAATAGTCTGGATTTGGTTAAGAGCTTTAAGCCTAAGTTTCCATTAGAAATTCTGCAGTGGAATCAGGTGTTAAAGGGTTGGGGGAAAATGAGAGGGAGGATGATCATAGTTGTTAAGGAAAGAGAAGAAGGCAGTCTGAATGTCCAGCAAGTGTCCTGAACATGATGGTGATATCTATTTAGATATTGATTTATTTATTTATGTTGTTGAATTGTGAAATCTTTCATAAAACGGAGAATCCTGAAGGCAAACTTTGAATAATGTCTAAAGGTCCTAATTTGATTCCATTAGACCAGACATATCTGTAAAATTTTGTTTTGTTGAAAGGAAGCTAGAGTTACTAGCCGTATACAAATTTTTCGACTAAAAGATAGAAACAGAGAACCATGAACTGTTTGTGCATGACAACAGGACCTTACTCAATCAACTACAGCTGTTTAAAAAAATTAAATTTATATTAATTCAAAAAAAAAAAATCAATAACAAAGTGAACCTCACAGAGAGAATTCATTAGTGGCCGAAGTCCCAGATGCCTAGTCCACCACTAAAGACCTTGTGCTCCTCATATTTCTTCACAATGACCTGACCAAGTTCAGTCTTCTTCCTGCAGTTGCAATGGCAAGGACCTTTAAAATTCTCTTTCATCATGATCATGCCAGTCTTGAGATTGTATCAGGATTTCTTTTCTTGATTGCAGTGCTATTTCTAGGCAGGTTTGAGTTACAATCACACTTACAGCACTCAACTAAGAAGGTATAAACTTAAGAAACCTTTGTACGACAAATTTTGAGCTAATAACCGGAGATAAATGGAGTTTAAAATTGGTACTTGTGATCTTTGGAGTGTATTGAATGTCTTGTGCATAACAAACACTGTGCACTTAAACTTCAAAGTACATAAAACCTGGTAGGACTTTAATTTTTTAGGTTTATAACTTCTAGTTCGATTATCCAAATTTTATTTTGTCTAAATTACCTACATTAAGAATGATTAAGAAACAATAACCCATTCTAAACTAGTTTGCTGATGCAGTGTGTCATCTGCCAACATTAACTAACTCTTGTCACCAACTGTGGCTTATTTGCTTCAAATCATACCCCATAATTTGGCGTAGCAAGACGA